AAAGGGAGCGTTTGGTCAGAAGAGACGATCTGCTCTAGAAACAACCAAAATGGATTATTGCCAATGAAATGAGGAGACTCTCTTGGAAGAGTGAATGGGGAGAAGGTGTCAGTAAGGATTGGGGGAACCCAGCGTATCCTAGTGAAATGCTCTGCACATTCATTTATTCTTTATTGCGCTGCTCCTTGCCTGCCCTCTCACCCCGAGCAAGGACAGTTGAGTAACACCGACCTACATCTTGCACCTAGGCCAGCTTGTGCTGAGGCCGATCAGTTCGGTAACTGCCAGTCCACAATCCTGCTTCGCTTTGTTCCTCGGCTCTGGCCAGGTGTACATGCCCTTGTCTGCAAGGATGAGCAGATTCTACATAGGATGCACCACTAGGAGTGGAAACAGCAGCACAGGGTGAAAAGAGGGAAACTCACATTTCAAATCCCTTTGACTCATGTAGCTGAGTTTTTCTAGAAAATTACCGAAACGGGAAGCCTGCACAGAGAAACGCGGCATCAGAAAGACCTAAGGTTATTTGGGTCTCCCCCTCCCCCCTCCCACAGCACCTTGGGCGGTTCTATAACTCAGACCCTGCTGGGGAGCTCACTCCCGCACTCCTCTGAATGAACGCAATTCTGGGTGGGGCTTTGGGGCGCACGTGGAAACGCTGCTCCTCTCGGTACTGCAGCCCAACTCAGGGCTACTCTGTCTAGCAGACTCTGCTCTCCTGAAACCTGCTCAACCTCCTGGGCTGTGCCCTGACGTGGTAGGAAAGGAAAGCTCCGGTCCACACCCTGTGCTTAGGGAAGGGTAGGTCAGGGAGGGAGAACGTGCGGTTCCTAGGGGGCTAGCAGCGGGCGGGGAGGGGGACCTTTGATGGGATGCGCACAGCCACCAAGGAAGCGGGCTACCAGCAGGTCCTCGCCAGCGAAACCTGCTCAACCTCCTGGGCTGTGCCCTGACGTGGTAGGAAAGGAAAGCTCCGGTCCACACCCTGTGCTTAGGGAAGGGTAGGTCAGGGAGGGAGAACGTGCGGTTCCTAGGGGGCTAGCAGCGGGCGGGGAGGGGGACCTTTGATGGGATGCGCACAGCCACCAAGGAAGCGGGCTACCAGCAGGTCCTCGCCAGCGCTGAGACACAGCCTGTGTCTGGGGGATGCTGCTCCCCGGGCAGCACTGCCGCCTG